AAAGTACCAACCCGGGATGCAGCTGTATCCAGGAACTAGCTACTGGGAAGTTCTAGTAGGGACAAGGGGCAGGAGCTGTTCCCAAGGCAGGCAGAGACGCCGCCCAACAGGAACGTGGCAGAGGAAAGAAGCCAGAGCCAAAACTGGCCCTGATTGGCCAGGTGTGAGGGTGGGCTGTGGGGGGAGGTAAATATCACCCTGCCTACTTGCTCTTCTCCACTTATAACTCCCTCCTATCGATGAAACCCACCAGAAGCCAGAGGACTGTCATGAGTTGGGAATGTAATCTGCAGCAGTGAGCCTGCCTGGGCACACAGCAGGGCAGAGAAGGGTGGAGAGTGGGCCATTTGAAAATTACTAGCACAGGTAGTGAGGGCTAAGAGGACAAGAGGCATCACTCTGCCAGTGAACTTCCCTGAGGGGAGCAGTGGAGACCTGCTACCCTGCTCCCATTTTATAAGGCTAACCTCCACTTCCCTCCCCATAAAATCCGTTGCTCCTTTGAGTTCCTCCTTTAGTCACTCATGGGTAGTTTAGCCTTGCTTCAAGATGGCTGTGAAGTGGGAGCAGGACTGTTCTTTAATTAAATTATCAATGCCTACTGCACTGGGGGGTAAAAACTCATCACTGTCCTATTTCTTAATCTCATATGTCCTCAGCTATAGCATTCAGTTGGCTCACCAGAAGATATGAAGTAGATCAAATGATAATAGAAATGTATGACAATATGATGTCTGACAATGATACAATGCCAATAAAATGGAACTGTCCTAAATAACCTATTTTTATTACAGTGTTTTTTTCTAAGATGTCCATGTTCATTTTCTTCCCCCACATTTTTTAAAAAGAGACTAGGTCTTGCTATGTTGCCCAGGATGGCCTTGAACTCCTGGACTCAAGATATTGTCCCACCTCCACCTTGCAAGTAGCTAGGATTACAGGTGCCCACCACCATGCCTGGCAGTTTTTCATATTTCAACCTCTCTGAAATTGGTATTCATATTACAGTCTCATCATCCAGGCTGCAGTTATGATGGAGTTGTCATGTCTGCACGTGTGTTAAAATTTGCAGAATAGATACCAGCAGCTTGGAAGAAAATCCTGCAGACAGAACGAAGCACTCTGCTATAAAATGCTCTATCACCAGTGCTCTTGGTGACACAGAGGGTAACACTGAGATAGATGCACACAGACCATTCTGAATTAAAAAGTGATTCAGTCAGAGAGAAAGTAGATGAGTGGTTGCAGGGGCTGGGGGAGCAGGAGGAGTGGAATGGGGAGTCACTAACAATAGATACAGGGTTTCTTTGGGGAGTGACAGAAATGTTCTGTAATAATTCCCTCGAAGGATTTTAATTAAAAAAGAAATCAGGCCGGGCGTGGTGGCTCGCGCCTGTAATCCAAGCACTTTGGAGGCCAAGGCGGGCGAATCACCTGAGGTTGGGAGTTCAAGACCAGCCTGACCAACATGGTGAAACTCCGTCTTTAAGAAAAAAAGAAAAAAGAAATCAATTCTAGAATTGTGAGTGATAAATATTCTAGAATAGTGAGCGGTGATGGTTGTACAACTTTGTGAATGCACTGAAAACCACTGAATTGTACACTTTAAAGGGATGTATTTTATGGTGTGGGAATTATATCTCAGTTTTCCAAAAGTGATTCAGAATGTGGGGGAAAGCTGGGTAATGAGCACATGTGAACTCTATACTTACGGTGCATCCAAATTATTTCAAAGTTAAAAAACGTAAAAAAAAACCTTTCAGAATATCATCAAAATTGAGGTCCTATATAGAAAAATCTGTATTCAGAGTGTATTACAGGCTTGTGTAAACTATGTCTTAGGTGGGAAAAAGACATTCAATAAAAACTTTTCCAACTTTCGGCTGAGCATGGTGACTCACGCCTGTCATCCCAGCACTTTGGGAGGCTGAGGCATGTGGATCACCTGAGGTCAGGAGTTTGAGACCAGCCTGATCCACATGGTGGAACCCCATCTCTACTAAAAATATGAAAATTAGCTGGGCATGGTGGTGGGCACCTATAATCTCAGCTATTTGGGAGGCTGAGGAAGGAGAATTGCTTGAATCCAGGAGGCAGAGGTTGCAGTGAGTGGAGATTGTACCATTGCACTCCAGGCTGGGCGATAAGAGCAAAACTCTGTTAAAAAAAAAAAAAAAAAAAAACTTGTCCAACTTTGAAAGCAAAGATGATTCAGAACATTTGGATTCTGAATATAAAGAGCTTCTAAGAGTACTTTATGTAATTTTGCTTATATTTTCCTTTTTATGCATGCACAAGAGCAACCTATGATACAAATCTATGTCCAAGTAAGTCTAAAAGAGGTTAATGAAGTATCAACATTTTAAGTAACAAAAAGGCAGTTTGTCAAAATCTCCCCTTCTTAATAGTATGTTAGTTATTAAATACATTCCCAAGTATGCATGCCCCCCCAAATCAAATTTCCTTCCTCTTATAATGTAAAGACCAAGGACGTTAAAGTCTATGATGATCTCCTGCAAACACTCATACTGTTCAGCCTCAGCCCAGGGCCTTCACTCAGTGGCTGCAGCTAATGTCTCTTGTGTGTTCCACTTTTAGAGTCCAAAGGGTTAACAGGACAGAGAAGATTATCCCAGCACCAGCCCCACGCCCAACAGACTTAGAAAACATGAACAAATCTGCTGGCCCCTACAGCAGTTAGACCAGTTAGATCAGTGCTTATTCTAGGTTATGAGCCACAGAAACCAACATTGCCTGATTTAAGCAAAGCAGGAATTTATCCATAGTCCACTGGGTAGTTGGGGGAATTACAGGGAAGACAGGAAAACCTGGCTTTGCTTAGTATGACCTATTAATGAGTCTGGAGAGGGCATTTTTGTCAGCAGCTGAGCTTTTTCCCCACCATTGTGGGGAATTCTCTATTGGGCCTCACCGTGCATCGCTGACTCCTGGCTCAAAGTCCAGAATGGGTTCTTCTCGCTGGCTGAGCCTTGGTCACATGGCTGCATCTTGGCCACATGGCTACAAAGGAAGCTGGCTACAAGGGAGTAAGTGACAGTGTATGCTTCTATAAAAGGGGATAGACTCTGCCTCCCACCAAGACTCTTAAGGAGGGGGAAGAGGTTCAGTTGATGAGCAGCCAAAAATCATATGAACATCTACTTCAGTTAAAATAAAGTCCCCAGAATCCCAGAGTACATGCATGATATTGGCACCAGCTAACAAGCCTAGCAGAGGCCCAGCAGTATCTGTGGGAAGTAGAGAAAACAGAAGAGAAAAAAATCTTTTAGATATCATCCTTATCTTAATGCCTTTCAATATATGTTGGTTTTCTGTAGTTCTTGACTGGTGAATTTTACACTGTGTTAGGAAAAGTCTTTCATCAAGAAGTTAATTATGGCCTAGGCACATCTGGAAATTGAAACCTTCCTAGCCTCTTGCAAAATTTAGAATTTTTCAGTGATGCTTCACCATTCTGTAGATTTAAAGCCCCTTAATTTCCATTTCCCCTGTGTCCTCTCATAAGCAACCATTGCAATGGTGTGCTGGTAAACTAGCTCTCTCAAAACAAATAAATAAATAAATAAGCACTGATTGGCAGTGTTTGCTCATTTCTTTGGTATAAATACTCTCACTGTGGAAGATTTTAAGCTGTTAAAGTTGTGGCATACAAAATTTCTATATATTTATCACCCCTTTTGAATGCCTAGGAGCAGTTGCCCTCACTCTGTCACCCAGGCTAGAGTACAGTGGCGCAATCTTGGCTCACTACAATTTCTGCCTCCTAGGTTCATGCGATTCTCTTGCCTCAGCCTCCTGAATAGCTGGGATTACTGGCACACGCCACCACGCTGGGCTAATTTTTGTATTTTTAGTGGAGACAGAGTTTTGCTTCACCATGTTGGCCAGGCCAGTCTTGAACTCCTGGCCTCAAGTAATCTGCCTGCCTCAGCCTCCCAAAGTATTGGGATTACAGGTGTGAGCTACTATGTCCAGCCATTGCCTGGATTTTCCTAGGCCTGTGATAACTGCCTCTTGAAGCAGTTTTCTCACTTGTTTAATCTGGAGAATCATTAGTAGTGGATTCCTCAACTGAAGCTGCTGTAGAATGTATGTTCCCAGGGAGCAGAGGTCTATGTTTGTTCACTGCTGTACTCTCAGTGCCCAAAATAGTAACTGGCACATTGAAGGTTCTTAGTACATATTTGTCTGTGGTGGTGGCTCTGAGACTTTTCATTAGGGCCTGGTGAGGACAAACATCTCTGCCATGTGCTGGTCCACAGAGCACTGCCTTTCTCTGCCTTGAGTATTAAAGCTGTGTCAAAGGCAGCAGCAGATTACCTTATGGCTTGTCTTTTACTAAGAAGTGGAATTTGTCTCTGATTATCTATTTGCCTCTGTTGTTCCACTTCTCTTTTCAGGACCGCGCAGCCAAGTCTTTAACATTTTACCACCAGGCACGGTGGCTCAGACCTGTAATCCCAGCATTTTGGGAGGCCGAGGCAGGCGGATCACAAGGTCAAGAGATTGAGACCATCCTGGCCAACATGGTGAAAGCCTGTCTCTACTAAAAATATAAAAATTAGCTGGTCGTGGTGATGGGCACCTGTAGTTCTAGCTACTCAGGAGGCTGAGGCAGGAGAATCACTTGAATCCGGGAGGTGGAGGTTTGCAGTAAGCCGAGATGGTGCCACTGCACTCCAGTTTGGCAACAGAGCTAGACTGTGTCTCAAAACAAACAAACAACAGCAATAACAATAAATTTTACCTTGCTGCTTCAGTTGACCATTTCCTCCTTTATTACATGTCAGCCAGCACTGTCATGAGTGTTTTCAACTTTATTTCCCTTTGCTTTTAAATCAGGACATTTGTTTTTCTGATGTACTTCTTAAGTTCTGCTTCATGGGGTACATCATAGTGAGCGATATGAAATTATGAAGTTTTGAATCTGCTAACAACATGACTGTTGAAGCATATTTTGTTCTTCTTTCTCCTTGCAGGTGGTTTTGTCCTGTTGGACCAATTATCTAAGCTGGGCCTGGACAACCACCACTATCCTGCCTGTGATTTACTGCAGCTCATTTCATCTTCCTGTGCCTTCTCTGAAAGCCCCCTCCAAAAGTTTCCTGGGTATGTCGCCTCAAGGTACATACCATGCCTGTATTCCCACCTGTAATATTTGAGTTGAGCCACCTCGAAACTCACTGGTAATGCTAGACACATTCTGTGCCCATCTTCCCAAGACCTCTCACCTCAAATCCAGCCACAGTTGCATGACTACCTGGTATAACTGTCATAGTCTTTAAAGGGTGATTTCCCCAATTAAATTTATTGTTGACTCCTTATTTGACCTTTTAAGAGAGCACTTCTCAAGAGCTTCCTGTAACTGTGCTCCCTGGTTGAGGGTGGGGTGGGTATGTAGATTATTCCAGTTTATTCTCTGAAATCTCTATTTTTTTTTTGAGATGGAGTTTCGCTCCCGTTACCCAGGCTGGAGTGCAATGGCGCGATCTCGGCTCACAGCAACCTCCGCCTCCTAGGTTCAGGCAATTCTCCTGCCTCAGCCTCCTTGAAATCTCTATTTTATTACTGGAGTTCTAAGGACCTGAGTCACCCTTTCTGGCCCAGTAGTAGCCAAAGCAAAAGAGTTTTTATTAATATTATCTTATTTGAGAGCAGTTGGGTCCAAGCATATCTCCCTTTGCCTTTCAGATTGGAATAGACGTGTCTCCAAGATCAAAACATTTCTCTTAAGGAAATCCTTTCCTCTACAAGGCAGTGGTGGTATGTAGGCCCAGCATTAGCCAGTCAGAATGGACACTGGCTGCAAACAACCCAAGTGTGTCTGGCTGAGCCCCAGGCTTCCCCTGTTGTCCCCCCTCCCCTCATTATCAGCCTAGTTCCATTATTTCTCTTTCTCGCTCCAGCTGCTCTCATTCTGACTTTAGGTCAGCTTGTCTAAACCAATTCAGCTCCTCCTTGATTCTTGGAGGCAGTATGCTCCTGCCACTGTCTCCTAGTAAAAAATAGCTTTTTCTACTATTTTGTTTTTTTGGTTTCTTTTCTTTTGAGATGGAGTCTTGCTCTGTCACCCAGGCTGGAGTGCAGGAATGTGATCTCAGTTCACTGCAACCTCTGCCTCCCAGGTTCAAGTGATTCTCCTGCCTCAGCCTCCCAAGTAGCTGGGATTACAGGCATGCACCACCACACCTAGCTAATTTTTGTATTTTTAGAAGAGATGGGGTTTCACCATGTTTGACCAGGCTGGTCTCAAACTCCTGACCTCAAGTGATCTGCCTGCCTTAGCCTCCCAAAGTGCTGGAATTACAGGCATGAGCCACTGCACCTGGCCAGTTTTTTTTTTTTTGAGACAGAGTCTTTCTCTGTGCTCAGGCTAACTAAGTGTAGTGGAACAAGCATGGCGCACTGCAGCCTTGATATCCCAGTCTCAAGCGATCCTCCCATCTCAGCCTCTTGTATAGCCGGGACTACAGGCATTCATAAACATTAACTCCTGGTTGATTTTTGATGTTTTTTGTAGAGATGAGATCTCATTATGTTGTCCAGGCTGGTCTCAAACTTCTGAAGACATGCAATCCTCCCTCCTTGTTCTCCCAACGTGCTGGGATTATAGGTATGAGCCACCACATCCAGCCTATTCCTCTTAATCTTTGGTTTTACTAATATTTTCATTAATGCCCCAAAAGATGGCCAGCCACCTGTAAAATAAAGGCCCCAATTTCTCTATCTGTTAAATGATAAAAAGCCACCACCCTCCATGGCTGAACCTCCAAATCTGGGTCTCTGATCAAAACCATGGCCAGGGTTAAGTAACAAATTTACAGAGGATTTTAAACTATGCTATGGGCTTTGAGGGTGATTCTAGGAGTCTGTAGGTAAGTGTACAGATCAGAAAATTAATTCTACCATGGTTCTTTTCTTGGCCCTAAAATTGGATTCAGGTCAACATAACATAAATAGGAAGAGAATTCGAAGTAGTTGATTTAATGTGCAGAAGACTAGAACCACACAGGCTAGTGTACTCTAACCCAGTGGTCCACAGACCAGGAGAATCACCTAGGAACTTGTTACAAATTCCTAGGCTTTACCCCAGACTTACTGAATCACAGAGTGGAAGCCCAGGAAACTATAACAAGCTTACAAAGTGACTCATGCATGTGAGAGTTTGAGAGGTAAAGCTCTAGCCCACATGGAGGTTAGCTTTGGCCTATCCCTGCCTGAGGAGTATCATAGGAACTACAAGAAAAAAGTCTCAACTACTGATATTTAAAGAAAGAATGTATTCACTGAAGCCCTGCAAGTTTTAAGTGACTGAACAATTCCTCTAATGTTGGCTGCACCTGCTTAGGTCTATCAGTTACAAAAGTCTGCGCAGCCAGTGTATACTGAGGTAGCAAAGGCCTGAATTTGCTGAGGCCCTACCATCCCAGTCTCATTAAACTGCTATATCCTAAATAAGTCAGGGATCTAGAAGCCCCTCCTCTCTGAAGCATCCTTCTTGCTGGGTGTAGCTTAAGTCTCCACCCCATGCCTGTTCTTTAAGCTTTCCTGGGTTTTGGGCCCGGTTCAGGTTTCAGGGGTGGTGGTAGAGGTACACATTATCTATCCTCCACTGAGTTGGAACCAACTGAGAAGTAGAACAAGGCCACAGCTAGGGATCAATATCAACTTTACTGCTGATAAAGTTGGATTGGAAAATGCAGCTGGGACTCTGAAGACACTACTAGAGCTTCCTAATACTTTCCCCGGAACTGAATCTCCCCACGAAGCTATGGACCTCTTCTTGGCAGAGGCAGAGGCTGCTTGGTGAGATTGCCAGACCAGCATGTTGTCCAGTTTGGCTCATTAGAGCTTATGTAGCCTTTCCCCAAGCCCCACCTCCATTCCCCATGGGCTCATTTACCTGGTCTTTGGAAAAGAGTGGTAAGTGGTGGACATACAGCCAGGGGAGGTGCTCCAGTACTGCCCCACCTGGGGTGGATGTGAAAATAGACAAATAAGACTTTCCCTGGCTGTGGGAATCATATCTGAGGTTATGGAAAGAGTCTAGCTAGAATAGGAGAGAGGAAGGTCAGGACTGAGGCTTGAGTGAAGCTTACATATAAACATGGTTGCAAGGAGGAAGCCCCAGCCAAAGAAACTAAAAGGAGAAAGGAGAGTAAAAGAAGAAACCCAAGGAGATTGTGGTGTCATGGAGGCAGAGCATTTTAAGGAGAGAGTGATCCACGGGGTCAGAGTTTCCTGAGTGAGCAGTAATATGAGGAAGAAAACCAGTTCCTTGGATTTAGCCACATGGAACCACTGGTGAGCTTATGGAAGGGTGGAAATGGGAACTTGAGCTTTAGGGTAGTCACTGGAAGGAGACATGGTGTCCAGGCTAGAGCTTGTTTGAACACTGATGCAGAAGGACAGCCACATGTGCTGTGGCGGTTGTGGTGGGGGCTGTAGCCCAGGCCCCACACTCCTGGCCAGGCACCTTGGGTACAGGCTGTCAGTCTATCTGGAGGACCTTCCCTAATTTGCACAAAAGTCCTGCATGAGCTAACAGCTGCCCTGGATGGGAACGATCTCCCAGCTCGAATCCTGAGATACCTCCAAACCCTGCTTAGGGCAGCAGCGACAAAGCTCTTCACTTTAAGAGTTTGCCTGTATTTTTGTTAGCACCTAATTATGTTAGCACCAATTGATCAAGTATTTAAAACCTAATCTAATAAAACTTCTAAACTCTCCCTTAGACAATGACAACCCTTAGTTTCCTAGGAACTACACTTTAGATTAACAAGGAGGGGACTGCAAAGGCAACAGGGCAGTTCTGACTTTCAGGATGGGGAGCATCTCTTGGACCAGTTGTTGCCCTCTCTCCTATCATGATCTTCAGAGCCCATATTTCCTAAGAGCTGGTCTTCAGACATGGTTTTTAGAACCATGGATTTAACTCTTTATTTACCATATCTTACCTTTTTCAATTAAATAACTTCCAATTATGATATCGTAGCAATACTACTATCACCAGACATCTTAATAATAAGCTGCCCCTGCTAATACCACACTCCTACTAGAAAACCAAAATAAATTGGAAAGAACTGTAGTTTTGGTCAGGGCATATTTATTTATTTTTCAGTCCAGAGGTGTTTTAATTTTTTTTTTTCTTTTTTTTTGAGTGAAGGAAAGAAGAAAAAAATGAGTAAAGGAGAGGAAGAAAGAGGAAGAGAAAGAGGGAGAGTGAGTGGAAATATTGCTTTATTCTTAAAAAAAATGGGTATTAATGGCCAATCAGTTTCATTTAAACCTATGAGTACGTGTGATGTGGTATTGACTAGAATGTTTATTTTGTGTATTTGAAGTGGAGAGCTCTATAAATATTTATTAAGTTTACTCGTTCAGGATCTGAGTTCGAGTCCTTGATATCCTTATTAATTTTCTGTCTCATTGTGTCTAAGTCTCTATGTATCTGGCTGTTAGGATCATTAGCTCTTGTTGTTGCATTGATCCTTTTACCACTATATCTTTGTTGCTTTAAAATCTATTTTATCCGATACGAGAATTGCAACTCCTGCTTTTTATTTATTTATTTATTTTTGCTCTCCATTTGATTGGTAAATCTTTCTCCATCCCTTAGTTTTGAGTCTTTGTGTATCCTTGCCTGTGAAACAGGTCTGGATGTAACATGCCGTTGGGTTTTGGCTGTGTCTTTTGATTGGGGGATTTAGTCAATTTAAATTTAGGGTTACTCCAATTTGATGTTAACTGGCTGTTTGATCCATTCGTTGGTGTAAATTCTTCTTTATGTTGGTGCTCTTTACTTTTTGGTATATTTTTAGAAGGACTGATACTGGTTGTTTCTTTCTGTGTATAATTCTACTTTCAGAAGCTCTTGTAAAGCAGGCCTGGTGGTAATAAAATCTCTGAGTTCTTGCTTGTTCATAAAAGATTGTATTTTTCCTTCAGTTGTGAAGCTTAGTTTGGCTGGATATGAAATTCTGGGCTGAAGGTTCTGTTCTTTGAGGATGTTGAATATTGGCCCCCACTCTCTTCTGGCTTGTAGAGTTTCTGCTGAGAGATCTGCTGTAAGTCTGATAGGCTTGCCTTTGCGGGTAACCTGACCTTTCTCTCTGGTTGCCCTTAGTATTTTCTCCTTCGTTTCAACCCTGGTGAATCTAACGATTATGTGCCTTGGGGTTGCTCTTCTTGAGGAATATCTTTGTGGTGTTCTCTGTATTACCTGGGGTTGAATATTGACTTGCTTTGCTAGTTTAGGAAAATTTTCCTGAATAATATCCTGAAGGGTATTTTCCAGCTTGGATTCATTCTCTCCATTGCATTCAGGTACACCTATCAAATATAGATTTGGTCTTTTCACATAGTCCCACATTTC